GAAGTCATTGATGTGATTGTCTTGAATTTATACGAGTTTAGGGTTTAGGTAGTCTGGGGTAGTAAGGGATCAAGGTGCAAAGTGGTTGGTCAGCCACCTTGACTCTTCTACATGACATCAAGATTCGACTCGATTTAACTCTATGCCTAGTTTTATAGATTCCACATAAAAAGTTTAACAAGTCGAGGAGAATAACCAAGAATCAGAAGAACGGTTTTACCTGTCCTATACTTTTTTCCTTCGAGCCAGCCACTCGTGCAGCAAGCGCTTGTCTAGTCAGATCATCACAGTATGCCCATCTCTAAACATGCAGATACAACTCTGATTCCTAATTTACAGTAGAAGATACTTTTCATCCATGCTCGTATCTATCCGTCAAGCAATCCGAAGACTATTCCAGCTTCTTCCTTCTCCTACTCCAACAGTAACGAGTATGGACGCGATCAAACCAGTACAGACTGTCGTGCTTCCCTGCGACGTATCCTCCATATCTTTTAACACGCCAACCTCCAACACAACGACGCCAGTGATCAGCGACCCCTCGACCCTCTCTGCCCTGCAAAAAGCCTCTGATCTAATCCAATCCTCGTCCCTCGTCGTCTTCCCCACCGAAACCGTCTATGGCCTCGCAGCCAACGCACTCTCCCCCACCGCGACCTCGCTCATCTTCCAAACCAAAGGGCGCCCGCAAGACAACCCGCTCATCGTCCACATCTCCTCCCTCTCCATGCTTCCCAGACTCATCGCACCCGATTTCCAAATACCTCCCAGCTACAAAGTGATGATGGAAGAGTTTTGGCCGGGCCCACTCACGCTCTTATTCCCTTGCAACAAATCGGTGGTGCCGCGTGAAGTAACGGCGGGACACGACACGGTCGGTATTCGTATGCCAAGTCACCCAGTCGCACGAGCGCTGATTGCGATGAGTGATTTGCCCTTGGCGGCGCCGAGCGCGAATACGAGTGGACGTCCGAGTCCGACGCGCGCGTCGCACGTGGCGGATGATCTGCAGGGTAAAGTAGCGCTCGTGTTGGATGGTGGGCCGTGTGGTGTTGGAGTGGAGAGTACGGTCGTGGATGGGTTACGAGGGGATGGGCATGTGCGGGTGTTGAGGCCTGGAGGAGTTACTGTCGAGGATCTCAAACGGGTGCTCAAGGGTGTGAAGAGAGTGAGGAGGGACGAGGTGGAGAAGGGCAACACACATGGGGACGATGGCGTGGCTTATTCCGCTTCTTTGGGTTCCAAACAGGGTGGGGGAGAGGCAAATGGTGATGATATTAAAGTGCTGGAGGGGTTCAAGGGCTGACGCGAACAACAAATATTTGGCATTGTTGGTTTAGTCCCAGCCACCTCTTTCCT